TTTCTTAAACAGGACATTTTAAATAGTGTGTTTCTTTTAAAGGACAATGTCACTTCCAGTGAAGTTGTCCATTCCAGCTTTCACCCACTCTCTCATTGTAGTCCACATGGGTAACCTCCAGAATGCTCCAGAGATCATCACTGTGTGGCCCTTCCAGGTGCCATACAGCATTTTGTTATAACTAGTCCATGGCATTCCCTGCATCTACTGTGCATGTGCAGTTCAGTCCTTGTTTACTCCATTGGTTGGGTCTATACTCATGGAGCACACAGCCATCCATATTTACAAGCGAACGCCGTGCGGTACCAGGCATGGCCATACAGTGCCATACAGGCAAGGCCATACTTCTCGAGCAAGGCTGCAAGTCAGTATGTACCCTGTGGATTACACTGAGGGGTAATCCACACGGGTGGGGCGGGGCTGTGACCAACTTAACTGAAAGTGACGTTGTCCTTTAAGTGTAAAGCATTATTAGTTATATGATTTTGGTAGTGTTTTATAATGTGTAAGAAGAACTCAGGCAGGCCTGACAACAACTCTTGGGATTTGAGTTCAGCACAGGCATTATTAGCTCACTACGGGAAATTAAGAGCTTATTGGATTTCTGGCAGATGAACAGGTTTTTTCCGGTGCTTGTATCAATTTTAAAATGACAAAATCTGGATGCATTGCATGGTTTTTTTAAAATTTATTTGTTTTGCCCCAATATACACTTTAAAGGAGAAGTATTGGGAGAGTAAAATATATTCTTCCCAATACTGTCCCTGCATGGGAAACGGCAGCTGTGACATGTTGGCTCTATACCGGAGGTGGGCAAACTCTGGCCCTCCATCTCTGGTAAAACTATAACTCCCATGATGCATCTGTCTCTGGGAGTCATAGCTGTGGCTCTGAGTCTCTTGCAATGCCTCATGGGATTTGTAGTTCCACAACAGCTGGAGGGCTCCAGCTTGCCCACCCCTGGTGTATACCGAGAGCTGAGTGATCATGTGATCATGTGAACATAGTTCACAGTCTCCTCCCTGCACAGAGCAGTGACTGTCAGTCACCAATCCCTGCAGGGATTCCTCCTCCCCTCTCTGTTTGCCATTGGAGGGACAAACGGGGAGGGGGCGGGCACAGCTGGATCTGGCTCCAGAGAGGTACAGCCAGCTGTCAATCAGGCACTTGGGTGGATCCTGTTAATATGGTGACGCCTCCTGTGCTTTGGGTCCCAGGAGTACAATAGTAATATTGCAGTATATTTGATTGTAATGTGAAGAACCCCTGAATATTTAGAGATGCATAACATTTTGAATATACCCTATATCAGGGGTAAGCAACCATGGCACTCTGTGGTGAACTACAAATCCCATTATGCATCTTCCCCTGGAAGTCATGTCTGTGGCTGTCAGAGTCTTGCAATGCCTCATAGGACTTGTAGTTCTACAACAGCTGGAGCACCGGGGTTGCCTATATGATGCCTGTGTATAATTTTTTACACTGATGTGAAACTAAAGACATCTTTGTGAAGGAGCATGCTTTGACCTGTAGTGGCTAGGTGGTTAATATTTATATTTCTTATTACTGGTGCTCTAAGTGACTTTGCTCATGAGGTGTGTGACAATGGCACCTGCTGCCCTGTGCTCTCCCTATCGTCTATGAAGGGAGGAACACAGCAGTGAAGGCAGGCCTGCATGGTAATATGACACAACACATGACAGGAAAAGCCGTTAGGAAGGGAGATGCGGGGGCCCAGTTAACAATCCAGTGCCTGGCATACATAGGTCCTATCCCTGGCAGTGGCATGGCTGGCATTATGTGGGGAGGATAGGTAGACATGTTTACTGCTGCTGCTGCTGTGTAGATCACTTTCAGTTTAGCAGAGATCAGCTTACGTCAGGCTGGGCTGTGCATTGTGTGTAGGTTCCCCTCCCCCAGCCTTCAACTATAAAATACATTTGTAATGTGAAAGTCCTGTGTGTGCGAGGAATAGAAACCACCACTGCCGCCGCTGCTGCTTTTGTTTTACTTCTCCTCTCATCGTTTTCTGTGTCTTTTTCTTTCCAGTTCACCTCCAGTAGGATCTGTGGGAATTTCCAGCGGTGGGAGCTGCCCATGGGATCTCCAGGTAAGAAGCTCACCTTTCATTCATTGTAACCATTCATTAGAAGGATGTAAGAAGGTCTGACTGTGGCCTTGTAATGGCTTGCT